TGAAAATCATGCCAATTCCTTTTCCAGAAACAAAATATTATCAAAAAGTTATCTCAATCCAGCTCTCTCAAAAGAGGACAATACTCTAGCTAATTAGAAACAAAAATAAATGAATGCATGTCTACTTTGCAAGGATTTGGAAAGTTTAGCTTGAAATATTGTTTCTGAAAGGAAATCAGATTTATTTTCCTCATCTTGAAGTCCCTTTGTGATTCTTGGTACTATGTAATCATTCTTTCTTTCTTGTGGACTCAAAGCTATGAGAGGAGTTTATTTGTCTGTTTGTTTCACATTTCCTCTCTATTATGTGTTACCAAGCTAATTCAAATCCTCATTCTTAGATCATAGTAATGGTCAAGTAAGACAGGGGTGATTCTCAGCTCCATTTTACAGACGTATCGTATAGATTGACTTGCCCAAAAAACAATTTATTGTAAGAAATAAAGCCAGGGTTCAGTTCCTGGCTGTCTGGCCATCTGATTGCAGTAAACTCTAATAGCTACATCATTCTACCTTCAAACTTACCAGCTGAAGCCTCCATTCTAGGCTTTTCTTCCTTAAATTCACCTAGATTCACCTTTCTAATACTGTAGATTGAAAGAAAAATGCATAACATAGAGATGTGAATTTAAGTTTTGTTTAGAGTTTTACCAAGGACAATATCCCAGATGACAATCAATAGCTCTGAGAAAATTGCCCCAAAGGCATAGGGGTGAAGCTAGTATATACTTAACTTTTTGGCTTGGGGGAACATACAGTCAAGCTTACATCTTGGTGAAAGATTACTGTCAGTCACAAGGAACAGATATCTCAGTTAATGATTTCAGGGTTTTTCCACGTAAATATGGGAAAGTGCAAAAAACCTCGGCCTATCAAAATTCTTCCTGAGGTATATATGTAATTATGGAAGTGCTCTGTCTTGGTTCTTAATTCTTAGGATCAGCAACTGCAGGAGCTAGGGACAGTCACTGTAGAACTGGATGTGGGTTAACATTCTTTGTTTTATAATACTCTGAAGCCTTTTGTCCTTTTCCTGCTTCAGAGATAGCATGGGCTCCTGAATCAAGTCCAGATTTCTCTGCCTAACTACCAAATTTCTCCATGATCTCACTAATCTGGAGTAGCCAATATTTCCCTTTTATCTGCCGTTGTTTCTGGCCACATGGTCACCACTTGTTCTGCATGCAAGCCTCTGCTTACAAGATTCCTTCTCCATTCAGCCTTCTCGCTTCACAGCACTGCATGCATTGAATTCAATTGCATGCATCTTTGCATTCTTTTCTCTTGCTCCACACAATCAACAGCACACAATTTGGGAGACATAAATGATCTCTAATTATTTCATGTGTGTCAGTCTCAGGTTTTCCAAAAGGGAACCAGAGCTTAGAGAGCAATGGTTTCCAAAGTGCGGTTGATGCATTAGCATCACCTGGGAGCCAGTTAGAAATGCACATTCTTGGGCCTCATCCTAGATCTACTGAATTGAAACTCAAACTTTAGTGGGCATCAAATCACTTGTAGGACTTATTAACAAGATCACTGGACCCACACTTAGAGTCTCTGACTTTATAGGTCCAAGGTGGGGCCAGCAAATTTGCATTTCTAAAAGATTCCTAGGTGCAGTGAACTGAAAGTTTGTGTCTTTCCAAAAGTGTGTGTTAGTCACTCAGTCATGTCTGACTCTTTGTGACCCCATGGACTGTGGCCTACCAGGCTCCTCATCCGTGGAATTCTCCAGGCAAGAATACTGGAGTAGGTTGCCATTTCCTTCTCCCATCTCTCTCCAGAAAGTCACAAGTTGAATCTTAACCCACAATGTGATGTCAGGACTTTTAGGAAGCAATTAGGTCATGAGGGTGGAGCCCTTATGAATGGAATTAGTGCCCTTATAGAAAGGACTCCAGAAAGCTCTCTCATTTTCCTTCTGCCATATGAGGACACAATGAGAAGATGGCTCTCTATGAACCAAGAAGTGGGTCCTCAAGACTGCATCTACTAGTGCCTTGATCTTGGATTTTCCAGTCTCCAGAACCATAAGAAATAAACATTGTTTAAGCCATCCAGGGAGAAGGAAATGGCAACCCACTTCAATATTCTTGCCTGGAGAATCCCATGGGACAAAGGAACCTGGTTGGCTACAGTCCATAGAGTTGCACAGAGTCAGACATGACTGAAGCAACTTAGCATGCATGCAAGTCATCTAGTCCATGTAATTTTTGTGATAGCACACCAAATGGACTTAGGCACCAGAAGAAGCTAATGCAGCTAATTTAGGGACCACACTTTGAGAACTGCTACTATAGAGCTTAGCTTGAAGCTTGCCTCAGTAGACACTTTTAATTGAAACTTGAGCCCTCAGGTGGTTTTTCATCTAAAATCTGATTTATTTTTCAAGGATCAATTATTGTTTGGTGAGATGACACCTCAAGTTTGAATATAGTTGGAATTTCCATGTTTTGAAATCATTTTAGAGACTAGTCGGAGTAAACATCTTAATACAGATGTCAGCCTGGGGGCAGATAGGTTAAAATTGAAATATAGAATAGATAGCAGTGGACCCTGTTCAAAGTATGTAACATCTCTTTGCTTATTTAATTTCCACAACAATTTATAAGATAGGTTCAACTACTGTCATCTGTAGTTTATAGACAAAGGGGCATCAGAGATTAACTAGTAGATTCATACAGCTAGTAAGGCATGGAGCTAGGATTTGAACTTAATGTAGCTCCAATATCCACAGTCTTGACAATGATGTTGTGCAGTCTCCATCTTACAACTGGGAAGAACAAGGCTCAGGTTGATAAGGTGTCTGAGAGCCCCATCCCTCACTAACTTTGAGCATAGATGTAGAAACATAGCATCCTGGGGTCATTTTCAGCAACCACCAGCAATACTATTTTTGTCAATGGTAATTTAAATTAGCAAGTTTGTAGGTGGTTTTGGGGGGATGGAGAAGACAGTCACCATTAGGGTGGCATAGCCTAGGATGCCACCTCAAGAGTTAGCAGCCTGGGCCAGATGGTTTCCTGAATTTCCACCCACAGGCCATCCTGACCACACCTTTGAAAAGCAGGTCTCAAAGTCCCACATTGCATCCATCTTCCCTCCTATAGGGAGTGGTGCTCAGCCTTTGCTTGGATATTCCCATAAAACAAGCTTATCAGTCCCCTAAACAGCCCATCCTATCTTAAGGACGTAATTACACATAGTTTCTCAATCTTGAGCTGAAAATTGTCTACCATTACTCTAATTGGTCCCGGTTCTTTCTCTTGGGAACCTCCAGAACAACTATGATTCTTTTTTGATATGGTACCCTTTATGTATTTGAAGATTGACAACCAATATTTCCTCCTCCTCTGCATCTCCAAATTTCCTTTTCTACATTAAATTAACCAAATTCCATCAACAGTTCATATAACATCTTTTTTCACCACCCCACCCACAGTTGTTGTTTTTTGCGGTTTTTTTAATGAGATTTAAGGATGTGATACAAAGCTAATCTGTATATTCCAATTCAGGCAGAATCTGGCTAGTTTAGCATAGCGCAGAAATATTTCCTCCTATGAGCTGGAATGACAAGGCTTTCTGGATGTTAGTGATTTCTTAACTTTATGGACAGCAGTATTCCTCTTGGCTCATAATAAATTCATGATCAATTAAAACCCCTTGCTATGTCTGTTTGACAAAAAGCATTTTCAACCAGATGTCCTTAGTCTTCACCCATGCAGTCAATTTGTTCAGCTGAGAAAGGACTTCATATTCATCCCTTGAAATTGTATCTTATTTGAGACAGTCCATTCTGAATACAAAGTCTCAGGCAATGTGTCCTGATGTTCTCCAGTTCAGGAGATTTAGAAAACAAATTGATAATCTGTAAACATAGCTTTTGTCTGCATGCATGGACAACCACTGAAAATGTGTTCACTTCCCAGCTACCATGTATGGAGACCAGCAGAGGCTGAGTGTCCTTGTGTCAACACACCAGAGGTTGCCCTGAGAAGCAAGGCAAGGCTGTCTTTGCATGGTCTGTGGATATCTCAGCTTTATGGATTTTTGCTGCAGCCCACATATTGGAGAGGCACAATATTTCACTTGGTGTCTGCATTCATTTGTTAAGGCTGCCAAAACAAAATACCACAAACCAAGCAGCTTAAACAGCAGAGATTTCTTCTCTCATAGTTGTAGAGGCCAGGAGTCTGAAATCAAGGTATTGGCAGGATGGTTCCTGCTGAGGGGCTGTGAGAAGAATATCTCTTCCTGGCCTCTCTTCTTGGCTTACAGGTGGTCATCTTTATATTCTAATGGGGTTCTCCCTGTGTGCCAGTCTGTCTCCAAATGTCCCTATTTTATAAAGACATCAATCACATTGGACCATCACATTAGAACCAAGGCTAATTTCATTTTAACCTGATAAGGACTCTCCAAATGAGGTCCCCTTCCAAGGTACTGGGATTCAGGACTTCAAACTCTGGATATCAAGGGAACACAATTCAACTCATAACTATATTGATGTACCTTACAATGGCCATTTCTACTATGGAGCTCCAGATACAGAATGGGACTCTACTATATTGTGGTTGGTTTTTAAATATTAGAAATTTGCTTTAATGGTCATATAGACTGTAATGATGGTGATGGTGATGATGACCATGGTGGGGCTGGTAGTGGTGGTGGCAATTTTACTCAGGAAAACTGCATTTCAGTACTCTGCACACAATAGTATAATGGTGGCCAAAAAAACTGTGATGCTTCAATATGCTCCACATGTTTCTATAGCCAGAAACATCTGTTCCCATAAATCAGGACCAGACAAACAATACTTCATTTTATAGGGGGTTATTGCATCCTTCTGATTACAATTCTGGTCCTTAGCGTATTGAAGCTGGCCACCACTATGATTCCACTGGTACCAATGCTGGTCTTTCAGCATTAGTGAAAGGTAGACAGAAAAAGTGCATACTGTAGATTATGCCTTAGTCATTCCTGGATTTGCTTTGCAGGAGTTGGTCCCGCTGAAGCTGTTAATTTGGGTAGCTGAAGAAGTCAGGCTGAGGAATCAGCAAGGCCAAGGCCAGGGTTGGGGCAGGAGCCACTCGCCCGCCAACTCTGACTCTACATGAGAGTAAGTAGGGATCTCTTCCTCGTACTGACCCCAAGTGTGTCCAGGGAGATTTTTAAAGATCACAGGACTTGAGGCAGCCTACTGTACCCATCTCACTACAAGGATGCTTGTTCTCTCTCTCAGTGTGTGTTCTCTGTAAATTGATAGTGCCCCCTTTTCAACTGAATTATGCTGGAGGCATCCTGTCAGTGTGTGAGACAGTTTTCATGAGTTCATAGTAATAAATAAAGGGCCCTGTTATATTAGCTAAGCTAATGTGACTCAGGAAAGTTGATTTGCTCTTAGTATAAAAGTTGGTTTGGGGAATACTGGCTACTCAAGGTTGAAAACATTCATGCTAACATTTATGACTGAGCAAAACTCTGCATCTTTAGCTATTGTGGATTTGGAATATTATTTTTCTTTTCAGCATCAGAATTTACACATACTACGGATTTTTCTAGTCATTCAAAAAGATAGTTAGATCTTTGTTTTTAATAAAAGACAAAGGAAAGAATATGATTCTGCATTTTTAACAAGCAGTCATTATAATGATAAGACTTAATCATATTGGTAATGGTAATAGACTTGGCATGTTCTTCCACAGTGAAAAAGTTCAAAGATATAATTATGGGCTGTTAGTACGAGACTATTTTTCTCATGTTACAACCAGTACATTGGTCTCTATAATAAAGATGAAAAATAGTTTAACTAGAAAAATTGGATTCTAATATTCCTTGTTGTGTCTTTATTATGTTAAGAAACAGTAGATATTTTTAAATGCTTTCAGTGCCTAAAAAATAAAATTTGAAAGCTACCAGGCAACTTAACCTTGCAAAACCACCTTTTCTTTTTAAAACCAGTTGACATGTTATATTTTATAAACTGAAGGTGTGACCATGTTATTTTGATACATATATATTGTAATATGATTGCCACTGAAGCAGTATTTATGACATTACATCATAATAGTGCAATATTGCTATCTATATTCAGTATACTCTGCATTAGATCTCAATGGCTTATTTATTACTCATTACGAGTTTGTATCCTTACGTTGGTAGGAATGTAAATTTGACAAACGACCTTTTTAACTCTTGGTACTGATAACGGGCCTTTCCCTCAAATGCCACCTGCCTGTCTTTGTTGGACAAGGGTGCGCTCTCAGCCTCCCCCACCTTGCTGCCCTGGAGGACGCGCTCTCACTGCCTGCTTGGCCGCCGCCTGGTGGGTTTGGGTGCCTGGCTGTGGGGGCTGCTGTCAGCGTGGCCGCTGCTGCTCCCGTCAGAGCCTGAGGTATCGCTGCAGCAGCTGCTGCTTTAGCTGCTGTTGCGACTACTGCTTTGCCTCTCTCCTTGCTTTCCAGGGCTTTCATTTTTGAACCCTGAAGCAAACAGGGTAAATTTGAAAAAGACGATCGGACACAAAATCTTGTACAAAAATTCTGACGGTCTGCAAATATTTCTGTGACACAGTTTATGTGTACATGTGGGAGTTGTTATTTAGTTGCTCAGTCGTGTCTGACTCCCTGCGACCCCATGGACTGCAGCACGCCAGGCTTCCATGTCCTCCACTAGACAGTGGAGTTTGCTCAAATTCATGTCCATTGAGTTGTTGATGCCGTCTAATCATCTCATCCTCTGTCGCCCCCTTCTCTTTTTGCCTTCAATCTTTCCCAGCATCAAGGTCTTTTCCAATGAGTCGGCTCTTCCCATCAGGTGGCCAAAGTATTGGAGCTTCAGCATCAGTCCTTCCAATGAATATTCGGGATGATCTCCTTCATAATTGACTGGTTTGATCTTCTTGCTGCTCAAGAGACTCAAGAGTCTTCTCCACAGTTCAAAAGCATCAATTTTTCAGTGCTCAGCCTTCTTTATGACCCAACTCTTACATCTATACATGACTACTAGAAAAACCATAGCTTTAACTATATAAACCTTTGTTGGCAAAGTGATGTCTCTGCTTTTTAATATGCTGTCTAGTTCGTCATAGCTTTTCTTCCAAGGAGCAAGCGTCTTTTAATTTCATGGCTGTAGTCACCATCTGCAGTGACTTTGGAGCCCAAGAAAATAAAATTTTGTCACTTTATGCACTTTCCCCCTACATTTGCCATGAAGTGATGGGACTAGATGCTACGATCTTAGTTTTCTGAATGTTGAGTTTTAAGCCAGCTTTTTCACTCTCCTCTTTCACCCTCATCAAGAGGCTCTTTAGTTTGTCTTCACTTTCTGCCGTTAGAGTACATATCTGCATATCTGAAATTGCGGACACTTTTCCCAGCAATCTTGATTCCAGCTTGTGATTCATCCAGACTGGCATTTTGCATGATGTACCCTGCATAGAAGTTAAATAAACAGGTTGACAATATACAGCCTTGACATACATGTTGGGGAAGTGGTTGTTTTTAAAACTTTGAGCATGTTATCCCTTATTTTGAATGAAGACTTACTCCTTGAAAATAATTTACCTGCTATAAGATCAAACCTTAAGAAAACAGCTTATAATTTATGGTTGGCCTTGTTGTTTAGTTGCTAAGTTGTGTCTGACTCTTTTGTGATCCCATGGACTGTAGCCCACCAGTCTCCTCTGACCATAGGATTTCCCAGGCAGGAATACTGGAGAGGTTGCCATTTCCTTCTCCAGGGGATCTTCCTGACCCAGGGATTGAACCTTCGTCTCCTGCACTGGCAGGCAAATTTCTCACCACCAAGCCACCAGGGAAGCCCAGTTGCCCTTTACTAGGCAATAAAAATATTTTCTAATGTTATATCATACTGGTTTTGTTTGAAAACCAATTTTAAGGTTATTTTTACTACTTGAAAATTCAGAATAAAATAATTTATTGAATCCTGACTGGCAGCTGTTTTTTCCTCTTCATATTCCTTTCCAGCATAAGAAAAAAGGTCCATGTGCTCTTCTGGCATGAACAAGAACTAGACAGCAATGACATTAATTTACATTCCTTCAGTCTCATGTCAGCCACTTGAGATTTCTATTCCCAGCCACAGTTTGCTTTCTTCATCAGGGGAAAATGTGTTCCTTTCAGAATTAGAATTCACTTGAGGAATAAGGCCTGTCTTATATTTGGGGGACAATGTGAATTTTAATTGGTAGGTCTCTTGTAGAATCTTGGACTAAGGCAAATAAATAAGAAATATAATCTGTTTGCATAAAATAGAACTCTACACTGCTGTAATTTTAAGTGGAAAAACAGAGACCAACACATCACAGATAAAGTAAAATTGTAAAATAGTGTCCTGTTGATAATCAAAAGTGAAGCCTCATTAAATGCCATCTAACAAAAACTAACAGAGGCAGAAGATATTAAGAAAAGGTGGCAAGAATACACAGAAGAACCATACAAAAAAGATCTTCATGACCCAGATAATCATGATGGTGTGATCACTCACACTCACCTAGAGTCAGATATCCTGGAATGTGAAGTCAAGTGGACCTTAGGAAGCATCATTACGAACAAAGCTAGTGGAAGTGATGGAATTCCAGTTGAGCTATTTCAAACCCTAAAAGATGATGCTGTGAAAGTGCTGCACTCAATATGCCAGCAAATTTGGAAAACTCAGCAGTGGCCACAGGACTGGAAAAGGTCAGTTTTCATTCCAATCCNTGGCAGACTTTATTTTTGGGGGGCCTCCAAAATCACTGCAGATGGTGACTGCAGCCATGAAATAAAAAGACGCTTACTCCTTGGAAGAAAAGTTATGACCAACCTAAACATTCGGAGAGGGCAATGGCAACTACTCCAGTACTCTTGCCTGGAAAATCCCATGGACAGAGGAGCCTGGTAGGCTGCAGTCCCTGGGTTTGCTGCGAGTCAGACACGACTAAGCAGCTTTGCTTTCATTTTTCACTTTCATGCATTGGAGAAGGAAATGGCAACCCACTCCAGTATTCTTGCCTGAAGAATCCCAGGGACGGAGGAGACTGGTGGGCTGCTATCTATGGGGTCGCACAGAGTTGGACACAACTGAAGCATCTTAGCAGCAGCAGCAGCAGACAGCATATTAAAAAGCAGAGACATTACTTTGCCAACAAAAGTCCATCTAGTCAAGGCTATGGTTTTTCCAGTGGTCATGTATGGATGTGAGAGTTGGACTATAAAGAAAGCTGAGCACCGAAGAATTGATGCTTTTGAACTGTGGTGTTTGAGAAGACTCTTGAGGGTCCCTTGGACTGCAAGGAGATCCAACCAGTCCATCCTAGAAGAAATCAGTCCTGAATGTACATTGGAAGGACTGATGTTGAAGCTGAATCTCCAATACTTTGCCCACCTGATGCGAAGAACTGATTCATTGGAAAAGACCTTGATGCTGGGAAAGATTGAAGGCAGGAGGAGAAGGGGACGACAGAGGATGAGATGGCTGGATAGGATCACTGACTCAATGGACATGAGTTTGAGTAAAACTCTGGGAGCTGGTGATGGACAGGGAGGCCTGCTGTGCTGCAGTCCATGGGGTCACAAAGAGTTGGACACAACTGAGCGACTGAACTGAACTGAACAAAAGCTAAAATAGAATGTGCATGTGAAGTCACTTCAGTTGTTCCTGACTCCTTGCAACCCCGTGGACTGTAGCCTGCCAGGCTCCTCTGTCCATAGGATTTCCAAGGCATGAATACTGGGGTGGGTTGCACGCCCTTCTCCAGGGGATCTTCCCAACCCAGAGATTGAACCTGCACCTCTTGCATCTCCTGCATTGTCAGGCAGGTTCTTTACTACTAGTGGCACCTGGAAATAGAATGTAAAGGGAAGCAATTTGAAGAATTCTAAAGGCAGGCAGAGTCATTCTGGAAAGCATTGGGATGGGGTAAAACAAAGCAGTGTAATCGTATGCAGAATGATTAGCACCATTTAGCCCAGATTTATTTGATAGAGTCATTGATTATCTTCATAAGGTTTATCTTACCATGGTGATTATTAACAGAAGTATAGGGTAGGAAATAAGGCCCATTTAAATTACCTAGCAACTGAATAATAGACAGATACCCGAAAGCCTCTTTGATATGGATTATTAAAAATGACACTTTCAATTATTATTATTTGTTATCATATTTATATTAATAAGATATAATGATCATTAATAGCAACAGTATAAATTATTATGCTATGTTACTGTTTACAAAACACTTTAATATAAGTAGATTATGTATATTGTATTTATTGTTATCACTGTTTAGTTGCTAAGTCATGTTCAACTTTTTGTGACCCCATGGACTATAGCCAGCCAGTCTCCTCCAGCCATGTGATTTCCCAGGCAAGAATCCTGGAGTGGGTTGCCATTTCCTTCTCCAGGGGATCTTCCAGATGAAGGGACTGAACCTATGTCTCCTGTATTTGCAGGTGGATTCTTTACCACTGAAACCAAGGTAGGCAATATAATACATATGATGAGATAATAAACATATACATATATACCTCCTTTTGTTCTTATTCCCTCTAAAGCAGGCAAAATTATCTTTCAAAATTGTAAATCAGATCTTATAATCCATTGCAGGTTAAATCCAAAGTCCTTCTCAGGGCCTCTAATGCCCTAGACCTTCAATCTTCACTTGCTAACTCCAGTGGCCTTCTTTCTAGTCTTTGACAGCTCAGCCTTGTTCTTGCTTCAGAACATCTGAGTTTTCTGTCTGGAACACTCTTATGCAAGCTTTTCATGGCTTTTCCCATCACATGTTTCAAGTCTCTGCTCATCTATCACTTCCCCAAGTCTCTCCTGACCAGTTTCTCTAAACTCTTCTTCCTCACTTTCTTACATAGTTTTGTTTTTCTTCAAAGAACTCATCAATCCTAATATTGTATGTTTATTTCTTTACTGCTTCATCTTTCCTATCAAAATGTAAAATCCATGAGAGCAGAGACCATTTTTCTTATTCATCTCTGAATCTCTAGTATTTAGGAATTGCTAGTTGCTCAGTCGTGCCTAACTTTGCTACCCCATGGACTATAGAACATGGAATTCTCTAGGCCAGAATACTGGAGTGGGTGGCAGTTCCCTTCTCTAGGGTCTCTTCCCAACCCAGGAATTGAACCAGGTCTCCCACATCGCAGGCCGATTCTTTACCAGCTGAGCCACAAGGGAAGCCCAAGAATACTGGAATGGGTAGCCTATCCCTTCTCCAGCAGATCTTCCCAAGTCAGGAATTGAACTGTCAAGTTCGATTGGGATTCCTTCCCAAGTCAGGAATCCTGCATTGTAAGTGGATTCTTTACCAACAGCTATCAGGGAAGCCCCATGTCTAAAACATAAAAGGCACTAATATTAATACATAAAAATCTGTAGAATGGATAAATGACTGTCTATACTTCCTTTTCACTTGAGCAACATGGTAGACTAAAGTTCAGTTCCTTGACTTTTTGACAGTATTTACTGAGCACTTATGTTCCAAGCATAGAGCTGAACAGTTTACTTTGTTTTTGTTTTTTTAATGTTCATTATCTTATTTAACCTGGAAACCCTACAACATAAGTATTCTTATTGTCATTATTATCTCCTATTTTATAGATGAGGAAGCTGAACTCAACAAAGTTTAATGAATTGAGCAACACAACTAGCAAGAGATAGACAGTGTTGGGAAGGACAGTCATGCACAGTTTGCAGCACTTGCTGACACTTGCACAGCTGCCAAGGAGTGTGCCTTGGACCAAAACATTCCCTTATATGGAAATGAGGAGCCCTGACAGACTGTGGTGGGCATATAACCCTGTTTGGGAATACGATATCCCTGTTCTGAATTTGACATGGACTTCATTCTGCTTCATTCTGCTTCAAGTGTGTGTGTGTGTGTGTGTGTGTGTGTGTGTGTGTGGTGTGTGTGTGTGTGTGTGCACGCTCACTCAGTCATGTTTAACTTGAATCACTAATCCATCTCTCAGTTCATACCCTAAACACCAACTTGGTTTCCTTCCCTTAGAATTAACTAACAGGCAGTGTTATCACTACAGGAAAAGCCATATTTAGTAGAGTGCATATTGGGGCTAGCAGGAAGCTTATAGCATGTATTTTAGGTAAACTCTGATCCATGTCTTACCTATGGGTATTTGGGGGATCTTTTAGAGAATTCTAATGTGGGATAATTAGAGCCTCCATATCTGCAGAATTCTGTTAATTTATCTCATCATGGTCCATTACAAGAATCCTTGATCAAGTATTAATAACATAACCTTAATCTAGTTTTACCTGCATTTAATCTTACCTGCAAATTGTTTCTAAATATTATCTAAGGTCTCTCAGGTAGATCTTTGAGTGGGAAGAACCAATTCTAGGTTACTATATATAATATCTTTATGGATTCCTGCTTGTTATTCTCATCTATATGTTGTAAAGTCTCCATCATCTATTTTTTCATAGAGAAAAGTAGTTACATTTCTTTATTGCTCTGGTATCACATGATGACTTTCCATTATCAAAGTAAACAAAGATCTTATGTAGCCCAAACTTGTATTTAAATGTTTGTTAGTTTCATTGACATCTGGCCATGTTCTCTATGGACAGAAAGCTGAAGGGTATGCCTTCTACCCTGTATATGGAAATCAGATGTGGTTGGCCCATCAGTTATTTCTGTCATGTTTCATATTAAGTGATTTCCTTGCAGGAAAGGAGGATCAAAGAGAGTAAGTTCAACTGTTTGAATGAAAGAGAAGAAAATAAAAATGAATATTTGTTAATCCTACTATGTGATAAACAACCCATCTTCTTTCATTATCTCTTTACCATTCACTGCCAAAAAAAAAAAAAAAAAAAGTGAACCTAGGCTCATTTTACAGATAAGGGCAAGTAACGTGTGCAGGACCATGCATCATTCATTTAATCATTTATTCAGTTAACAAGTACAGAGTGCTTACCATGAGCTAGGTGTTTCATAAACAGCAGGTGCTGATTTGGGTCAACAACAGCAGGAAGACATGGGCTGACTTCAGGTTCTTTTCAGTTTTCCTGCAGTGAGTCACAGGAATGGAAACTCAGTCTCAAACATTTCAATTTGGAAATGAAGTTTAAAGAAGGCAGTGCCTCTTCAATTGAATAAGTCTGTGTTAAGTGCCTATAGGAAGGAATCAGGATTCCTTGTTGGAACCATCATAACCTTAATCTTTGGCCTCATGAGCTATCACTGTTATTTGAAGAATGGAGAATTACCTTCCAATAGTGTTAGTGGTAAAGAACCTGCCTGCCAATGCATGAGACATAAGAGATGTGGGTTAAATCCTTGGGTTAGGAAGATCCCCTGGATGAGGGCATGGCAACCTATTCCAGTAATTTTGCCTGGAGAATCCCCATGGACTGAGGATCCTGGTGGGCTACAGTCCATAGGGTCGCACAGAGTCTGACACAACTGAAACAACTTAGCATGCAGAAGAGTAGAAACCTAACCTACAATATCAATTAAAAAACAAAAAGTAGGGCTGTTCAATTTAGAAGAGGGGATGTTTGATTTTTTGTTCACACTCCATCCGTCACCATGGTTCCTGAGCAGAACATCTCAGACTATGTAGAACACAGTTTGAAAACCACTGATTAAAACAATATGACATTGATTAAGGAGAGTGCATACTGGGTGTCATGCCCCCTGGGGTACTGATCTGGGGAAGGGGCCTGGGAACTCTCATCCTGGGACCCAACCCCCAACCCCCACCACTTAGTGTAGGCTAGGAGATCATTTGTGTTCACAGTCCTGCTGTCTTTACAACCTTCTCTGGGCAAGGACTGAGTTCCTTGGTCTTGTTTACAGTTGCCCAGTTGCACTTTCCAGTTTGGTCCTTCTGGATGGCATTTCCGGTGGACAAAGTTTAGAAATTCTGACAATCCCTTTGTCATCTGATCATCTCCATCTGACAGCTGGGAGGAAGGTCAGCAAGCAATGGAAAGCATTCACACCCACCTCTGCAGTTCATAGATTGTTTTCTTGACTGTTATATGCAACATGTAGAGAGCCCTCAGAATATAACAGTGTTTGACTTATTTTCAGGGGTCTAAATGTTTCCAGCCTTCCTATTGGTGTGCTCAACTTTTACAGGGGCAGAGAGATTGAATGTCATCATAGCAGTCCTCTTTGCTGATGGTATGAAAGGGCCTTTGGTCCAGTAACCATCGTGTTCCTCAGTTTGGGGAGACAATCTGGAGACAAGATTGTGGGAAACAGCTAAGACATTTTTCAGATCAAAATGTTTGAAAGGAAATATAAAGAATATCCCTAGTATTTATGTTTAGTTCATTCTAGCAGTGTGTCTATTCATTCATCCTATAAATGTTTATCCAGTAGCTCTCTGGTGCCAGAGCCTATAATGGGCTAACCCTGGGCTAACTCTCAGAGAGCTGGAGAACAATTCCATGATGTCATACCTGAAGACCTCCAGATTATTATAGACCTTCTCTCACCGTAGATTCCTCCACAATTCCCTACCACTCCAGTTCTGCAAAACTATAGTTCGGTCAGTTCAGTTGCTCAGTCGTGTCCGACTCTTTGTGACCCCATGAACAGCAGCACACCAGGCCTCCCTGTCCATCACCAGCTCCCAGAGTTTACTCAAACTCATGTCCATCAAGTCGGTGATGCCATCCAGCCATCTCATCCTCTGTCATCCCCTTCTCCTCCCACCTTCAATCTTTCCCAGCATCAGGGTCTTTTCAAATGAGTCAGCTCTTCGCATCTGGTGGCCAAAGTATTGGAATTTCAGCTTCAACATCAGTCCATCCAGTGAACACCCAGGACTGATCTCCTTTAGGATGGACTGGTTGGATATCCTCACAGTCCAAGGGACTCTCAAGAGTCTTCTCCAACACCACAGTTCAAAAGCATCAATTCTTTGGTGCTCAGCTTTCTTTATAGTCCAACTCTCACATCCACACATGACCACTGGAAAAACCATAGCCTTGACAAGACGGACCTTTGTCAACAAAGTAATATCTCTGCTTTTTAATATGCTGTCTAGGTTGGTCATAACTTTCCTTCCAAGGAGTAAGCGTCTTTTAATTTCATGGCTGCAATCACCGTCTGCAGTGATTTTGGAGCTCAGAAAAATAAAGTCAGCCACTGTTTCTCCATCTATTTCCCATGAAATGATGGGACCGGATGCCATGATCTTAGTTTTCTGAACGTTGAGCTTTAAGCCCATTTTTTCAACTCCTCTTTCACTTTCATCAAGAGGCTCTTTAGTTCCTCTTCACTTTCTGCCATAACTGTGAGGTCATCTGCATACCTGAGGCTATTGATATTTCTCCCGGCAATCTTGATTCCAGCTTGTGCTTCATCCAGCCCAGCATTTCTCATGATGTACTCTGCATATAAGTTAAATAAGCAGGGTGACAATATACAGCCTTGACGTACTCCTTTTCCTATTTGGAACCAGTCTGTTGTTCCATGTCCAGTTCTAACTGTTGCTTCCTGACCTGCATACAGGTTTCTCAAGAGGCAGGTCAGGTGGTCTGGTATTCCCATCTCTTTCAGAATTTTCCACAGTTTATTGTGATCCACACAGTCAAAGGCTTTGGCATAGTCAATAAAGCAGAAATAGATGTTTTTCTGGAACTCTCTTGCTTTTTCGATGATCCAGCGGATGTTGGCAATTTGATCTCTGGTTCCTCTGCCTTTTCTAAAACCAGCTTGAACATCTGGAAGTTCACGGTTCACGTATTGCTGAAGCCTGGCTTGGAGAATTTTGAGCATTACTTTACTAGCGTGTGAGATGAGTGCAATTGTGCGGTAGTTTGAGCATTCTTTGGCATTGCCTTTCTTTGGGATTGGAATGAAAACTGACCTTTTCCAGTCCTGTGGCCACTGCTGAGTTTTCCAAATTTGCTGGCATATTGAGTGCAGCACTTTCACAGCATCATCTTTCAGGATTTGAAATAGCTCAACTGGAATTCCATCACCTCCACTACCTTTGCTCATAGTGATGCTTCCTAAGGTCCACTTGACTTCACAATCCAGGATGTCTGGCTCTAGGTGAGTGTGAGTGATCACACCATCATGATTATCTGGGTCATGAAGATCTTTTTCATACAGTTCTTCTGTGTATTCTTGCCACCTCTTCTTAATATCTTCTGCTTCTGTTAGGTCCATCCCATTTCTGTCCTTTATTGAGCCCATCTTTGCATGAAATGTTCCCTTGGTATCTCTAATTTTCTTGAAGAGATCTCTAATCTTTCCCATTCTATTGTTTTCTTCTATTTCTTTGCACTGATCGCTGAGGAAGGCTTTCTTATCTCTCCTTGCTATTCTTTGGAACTCTGCATTCAACTCTGCAAAACTACAAGTTTCAGGAAAACCACCAGGTCCCAGGCTGCAGTCTAACTGCTCTTTGGAACATCCGCATGCCCCATGAACACCTTTGAGCCAGCCCTCCTACCTGGACTGGAAGAACAGATCCAGTGTGGACACCAGGCAGGGTTTTGTTGTCTGCAGAGAGAAATCCAGCTAGGGTTCCTCCCAGATAGAAAGGGAGAACTGAGAAAGCCAGCTTCAAGTTGGCAGGAATCAGTGTGAAGGAAAACAAATATTCTGGTGGTTTTTGAATGACATCTAAAAATTTTGTACTTGAGGAAGGAAGGAAACTGGTAAGATAAACATCTGAATTTCACTGGTTTACCTCCAGGCTAAAATAACATAGTCAAATTTCTCTTCTGGTTTGGGGAAATCCCCTGGAGTTGGAGGTGGACAGAGGCTTCCTTCTTGCCTTTCCTTGCCCCTCTCCCTCTCTTTTCGCTGCCCCTCCCCAGCTCCATCTCACTGGGAGTCCTGGG